TATCCAAAATTGGGGAGAGGGGATTTTCTAGGAGGGTGAGAGCGCTCGCCTCCTGCCGCTGTGGCCCGGGTTCGATTCCCGGACCTGGTGTCACATGTGGTTTGAATTTATTGTTGGTTCTCGTCTTTGCTCAGACGGCTTTTCTCCGGGTCCTCCAGCGCAATTATTTTCCCTGCACTACTATTGTCATTATTACCAGTATTGCTAACGTAATTTACTTTTATAAGGATAATTTCAATGCACGTTTTTTAAAATTTTTTTCAATACAAACTAGTAATTGCTTTCGCGATTTTTATATGTAGGTCGTTTTTGTTATCAAAGTTAGTTTGGGTCTGATACGAATCTGATCCCAGAGAACCGAATTTAAAAGATGTGTTCCGTGTCAATTAATTTGGAAATGTACGAGAGGAAAAGCCATTGCCAACGCGAAGTTATTATCATTTTACTCTGGCTTAAAAAAAAAGGGACAAAACTGAACACTCCCTCGTCAATTTCTCGATAAATCGGTTGATGGATTGATGGACTAGTTTGATAATTAAAACATTAGCTATCGGTGTATTACTTTATGACACTCATTCATTCAACCAGTGATATTAGTTGATTGTTTGGGGGGGGGGAATGAATCGGTGAGGGGAAGGGATAAGATAATGAATAGTTGTATGAATCAAGGATTTCATAAATGAATGATGAGATGGTATTTTGTGACTTAATCATCTTACCTTCGGTTTTCATATCGCAGTGAACTAAAGCAGTATCTTCACTTTGGTTAGATTTAAACCAATAGTTGCCGCTAACCGATTGTCCTCCTTCACTGGCCTTGATCTCCTTACACGATTCAGCAGGAAGCTCACGAATGGATCCCAAAGGAACTAAATAATGATAAATTTATGTTAATGGTTACTGTTTTTGAAAGAAGACACTGACTGCCGTGGACGACTTACAAAGCTTAAACGAAGAAAACGTTTAGGAAGTTGAATAAGAAAGTGCGAATAAATAGATAAATAGTTTGTGTGAACTACTCACATAGTAGTGGAAATGAGGTCTTAAAAAAGAACTCAGGCAAATACGGGAATTGAACCCATGACCTCTGTGATACCAGTGCAGTGCTCTATCAAGTGAGCTAACAAGCCAACTGGGAGCTGGTCATTATGTTGATTCGTATTAAACCCTTCGGTTTTATACGAACCTACCTCTCGCAGAGGTCATGGGTTCCAATCCCGTACGGGCCTGAAATTTTTTCAGGCCTTATTTCCACTGCTACATAAATAAGGCTCATTACTTTGAGGATTGCTTTCATACATTTCATGAAACTATAGTACACATTTGTGAGTTTTATAAATTCAAATTCAGATAAATAATTATTTCAACATATCGCTTGCGCAAGTCCTATCCAATTCTTAAGGAGCTATTTCAACGGTAAGTTCTAGTCGAGTTTAGCCACGAGGTGTTATAACTTTCAAGAATGTTTTTCGATTCCATTCGGATTGAGATAGATCTTTTATATGCTCAGGAAGCTAGAGTTTCTTTAGGTTGCGCCTTGAGCAACTCTTTACGCTTCTCTCGTGCGCTCCAAACTTCCCTTGTGCATCCATAACTCGATATACGCACGCTAACAATGAAACAATACTTCAGTAAATAGATAAAAATATTAAAATATTAAAATTGTACAAAACATATCTAACATGTAACTTTTAGGGTCGAGATCAACTCTCTGTCCGAGGGTACAAATGTAAAGAAAATTATTGTCTAAAACTTGCGGTCAGTTATCAGAATGGTCGGCATTTCTCTTTCGAATTAGTGATGCTTTACTTTCTCTAATTCTCTTGCTCACTACGAAACTCCGTTTCTGACTCTTCCATTATACTATCGATCAGAGTTAGGGACGAAGTCTTCAGGTCTGGCTTCCTTGATACGATTATTCAGTTCGCATATGTTGCTAGAAACGACGTAATTGAAGCTTTGGCATCTTTTGTCGCCACGGCAAGTCGTAAGACACTCAAGTGAGGTATACGTCTCCATTACTTTGAATATGTGTCGTTGAAGCAGCATGCCATGTACGGAAGTTTGACGACTGCACTGCTTTGCGATCAATCCAGAAAACATTTGGCACAGCATTAGCTGAACTGGAAAACGAAGAATCAAAACCATCTTCACGTCACCGATGGATATGTCTTGAGAGGTCTGCAAATGAAGTTCTCCTCCTTATTTCTCCTCCACTTTCCTTTCTTTTTCCTGTTATGAAGACTGCTGAGTGTGGACCTGAGGGAAGAAGAATAAATATTTTATAGCGTAAATGCTGTTTTAAAATAGTTTCATAAGACATCTGGCCAACAGTAATATGTTCTCATCTTTACCGTCCCTTTCGTGCCAATTCCCTTTGCATTTTCTAAATCTGGATTAGAATAGTTTACTCTTCATTTCATCTTCTTTTAAGCTGAGAAAAAAAACTGGTTCATTAGTCAAATAATTCTTAACGAAAGAAAAACCCTATTCGTTTAAAATGCAACAATCGAAAAATGAGGTGGATGTTTATAATTCAGACGCAGCTAATGTTCACTTTTTTAAAGCGTTAATAAAAACATCATTCTCTTTATAATACTGTCGCAGCATTTATCATCGACTTATTCATGTTTTTCCTAAATGCAATTTTAAGTCTTCACGGGAGGCTGAGGTATTTTATTAGTCCCGCGCTCCTTATATACCAACATATTATATGTTGATTCTTCTCTTTATTTGGAGACGTAGCTCAAAATTTTTAACGTTTCTTAGTCTATCTCTACTGTAGTACATAATTATAAAGCTCGTAAGATTATTTTGTGTTTTTTTTTCAAAACTCAATCCCTCTTAATGTTCAATAACATTCCTGCATTTTATATTGATCTAAAAAACACATCGAACCAAATTTTACGCTCCAAAGAAGTCACTGATTTCTTCGAACCCACGGGTAACTCTCGAGTATTCGTCCACCGACAGCTCAAACTCAAACCTGAAACATTTTTTAACTCGTTAATTTTTGATGAGTCTTTTAGGGTGGGAGTATGTAAAAATAATGCTAACTTTTTAGATACCTGCGTATTTCTCAAAAATTATTGAATCGGAGGGGAGAGGTGGAAGACAACCCGAAACTCATGGGAACTGTGTCACGGGTTTGTTAGCCATAGTTGCATTTAAGATAAGGAGATGTGCAATGGGAAAATGTCTCTATTGTTGAAAAAGAGTAAAGGTTCGCGCTCTAACTAGTTCAACGAGCGTACCTTGACATAGTACAAATGCAGGGTGCACAAGCAGTCCAGGCTTTGATGAAAAAAGTCTCTTAATTTACAAAGGCAAAATTACACTCTTCATTTAAAAACAACACCAGGGAAACATTGATGGAGCTCTCTGAATTCACGATGGGAACCTTTGCATTGAAAAAAATGTTTAAACTGTACCTGGCATCATTATAATTTTGTATGCTCTTTCTCTTTTTCTCGAAGGTTTTTTGAGAATGTTGAGAAACTCTAAGGGTACTCTGAAACAGGTCGTTGATTATGAAAACATGGAGTGATATAACTCTAGCATACCGTGAGAAAGCTTTAATGTTTTGTCTATATACGAGATAGAGGGGCATAGCAGGTCTTTTAAAAGGGAAGATGGGAGGGGTCATTAGAAATGCGGAAATAGCCGAAAATATCGCCGATATGTCATAGCTATATCGGGAGAAAAGTGCGTCATAGTAGACAATCATCACTGTTCCAGACATCAAACGTCGGTTGACTTTTGATCTCTTTATATGTCCTAATAAAGATTTGAATCCAAAGTGAGTGAAAAGACACTGTGGTTCGAGAGGGTACTGAGTTTCGTTAGGCGAGGAAAATATGTTTTAGCAAATGTAACTAATCCGTAAAAAGAATTACAAACTATAAGTCGTATAGTTTTTCGTTTATTCATTTATTTATTCTTTCGTCTATCTATGTTAATGTCAAAAGTCAGTTTAAACCACTACTATTTTACAAGCTATTTTAAAAGTAGTTCTTAAAATACCTGCTAAAAACGTAGGGGAAAACATGACATCCTTCTCAAATATCAGCAAGTAAAAGCGCACGAGAAATCGAAGAAAAAAAAAACAGCAAAACGCTTATTACAGTTAAGCGTAGACTTGTTAGACGACAAATAAGTCTTGACTTTCATGTATGAAATAATGCAGCATTCCAATTACATCGTAGAATCCTTGGAAGCGAAATCATTAACAGCAAAAACAAACCACTTCGTCCATGACAGACTGTTTCGAATGACATACTGCCGCTAAAAAAGTTACAATAATATTAATCAACCCTATTCTACCCAACAATTTAGCTTACAGCTCAGAAATACGTTTCCTGATACTTGCGAAAGTCTTAAAGTTGTATAATTTTTATTTAA